ACTGGTGTCAATGCCATGTTGCACTAGGCTAGTGTGCATACAATCCTCGTCTCTTGCTGCAAAGATGTCCCCAAATGACTCCAGCAGCTCCCTCAGCTGTTGTCACTGGTCTGTCACTAAGCCCTTTCAGCTCCACTCAGTGAGTTCATTGATTTCCCGAAGCGATGTCATGTTTATGACTACTGCCTTTCCTTCTTCTCCCTAATTTTGATTGTATTATTGTATTGACTGTTGTCTATTGTCTGTTGCCTAAAACACACTGCGAGTCTCTGTACCAGACATACTTGGCAATTAAAGCTGATTCTGATTTTGATTTTTCTTTGGTGATCCCTCAGTTGAAGAAGGGTTGGGAGACCAGGACTTGTCTTTTTTATCTCCACACACACACACACACACACACACACACACAAAATGTAGCCACACAGTAACACAATACTATCAGAATAACCTCCAACAAATCCTCCAAACTATATCAACACTGCCCCAGTCATAATGGGGCATCCTGCCAAGTCTCTCTCTGCCCTCCCAATACCACAGTATGCTTTTCTTTTCCTTTCCCAGATTCTGTATAACTTTCCAGCACCCTCTGTATTCACATATATGCTGAGAATGTAGGTGATATAAACTAATCAAACGACTGAAAGACATAAAGCAACACTGTCAACAAAATGGTGAAAAAGTACTGGAGACAGTGAAGAGTAAGAGGAGCCTATCTATCTATCTATCTATCTATGATTAATTAATGTTTACACATTATGATGAGCCTAAGTTTTGTCCATCCCACACAGATACGGGATACACACTGAAGACTGGGCTGCTTAATTCTCACGGCAGCTACATTAATATTCTGTCTTTGATGCATCATAATTGTACACCATGTTTAATGAAATCCATATTTACTGTACTTGAGTGCACATATTATTCATGCATTCTCATTTACTTGAGATTAACGCATCAGTATTTTGTGCAGGAGTGCATATGTATTTAAATGCATGTATTCTAGAAACAAACACAAATCCCAGACATTAACATCTTCATTTGAATAAACAGCTTTGGAACTTACACATTTGCTTTCTTGCCAAGACACAGGTGGGATCCACTCACACATCTGGAAGGGCAATATTTACAGCAGCGAGTCACTTTCAAGAGACTTAAGTAACAGAAGTGACAGAAGAATAATATACACATGCAGATGCAGTAATCTGTTGTTATTTTACATCTCCTCTGAGAGAATTCTCTTATTTTCATACTACTGATCTCTGCTCTGTTTCATTGCTGTCCCTAATAAAACTGGACACGTTCAGAAGGCTTTGATGACTTTGAATGGTCCCTCTGGGAAACTGAGTTCAGCCTGCCACTCTTTGAAAATCAGATCCTATCCATGCCAAATATGGATATGAAAGTATGACATTTCCTCTGCCTACATACAGAGAAAATGCACTGCTGTGCCTGGGTACAGCCTGACAGAGCTGCTAACACGGCTGTAGACTTGTAGTTCAGTCTAGTTAAAAATAAGTTGACTACAGTAAATGTCCACTAACATAGATTCTTAGATTAGTTGTAAAAACAATGTCATCTTATTAGCATATATTTCCTAGCCCGCATTGCAGTTGCAGTTACACAATGACACATATGTGCCTTTTTATTTTTGCCTCAGAGTAACATTTCCCTTTGGTCAAAATAAAAAATAGTGAATGCAGCTGCTGGCAAAACAAAAATGTTTTATTAGATTGTGTCATTTATGAAGAATTTGATTTGATATTGTTTTACTTGTGACAAAATAAACATGGCTGGAGTTAATAAAAAGTTTGAATTTCCAAGACTTGAGTAAGACAAATGAACTAAAGTGAAAAGTTAGTGCTGTGATACTGAATATTTCACCCACCCAGAGTTCATTGCCTTAGAATCTTGGTTTCCCAGACTTTTTCAGTTATACAGTGCACAGGCAAGTTAAAGCTGAACTGTTTTCAGCTAGCGGCTGAGTGTTATTTCATGCATTTTCAATAGGGGTGGATCCTCCCTATGATTTTACAAATACAGTCACTGACAAAACAATAGATACAGTAAGTATATTGAAAGCACGAGACTTCATTGTCTCCACAGTTTTCCATCTTCTGCACAGCAAGATGCTTTCAGCAAAAGAACAAGAGATGGTGTATGGCTGTGCTGGGTGAAAGGAATTCATTAAAAATGTCCAGAACATACAGAACCAGAATTACTTCACTCGCCCCCCCCCCCCCAAAAAAAAACAGGCTGTGTCAAGTTATTCATGTTCATCAGCATCTTTATGATATGGCAAATGTATACATGGTGACAGTTTAGCAGAAGCAAAATGATTCACTCCTTTTTGGCAGCAAATTTCAGTGTATCACATCTGCTAATACACAGGGCAGCCTTGTTTATGTGCATATATACTTGGCATTTACAGCTCTGTAGTCACATAGTTACTTATGTAGTTTGCATAGAGTCTGAAACAGCCCTATGACAGTGAAATTATCCAAAGCATGTTCTGTTTATCATTTATAAAATGCTAAAACTGAAAGCACCCCACATATTTTTTGCAGTTGTTACTATTGCACCGCCTGTGTTTCTTCTTCTGGAGGCAAAAGAAATACAGAAACTTGTCAGCACCTTACATTAGTGCTGTGTTGTTGTTGGTGGAAGCAGCTCATTTCTGTCATAAGGAAAAGCACCACTATAATTAAAGCATTGATTTTTATTCAACATCAGCACCCCACCCCAACACACTCCCACACATTATCACACAAGTTTTTCCTCTTCCTTCACTTTTGTTGGACTATTACTGCAAACGTCGCCCAGACTTTAAGTGTTCTTAGACTCGTGCACTTCTCACAATAGACTTATCGCAGCTGATTGATTTCTGCTCCAAGCAGCTCCTTTGTCATTGTTAAAAGCTTTTTTTTCTTTTGGTCCTCCCCCCAAAAAAACATCTCCTGACTTTGTGCGGTGCATATATGAGACTTCCTGACTAGTTTGAACTCATAGGAAGTCAGCAATAACAGCAACACAAAAAAGAAAAGAAACAGGGATCCACACAGAAAATCTGTAACACACACACACACACATGCACAGGTGATGATGAAGTTGGCGTGCTCAAATCAAATTCCAGCCACAGGTAGTCAGGGACCCATTGAGGAAAATTGGATTTAGCCTTTAGAAATGTGTTTCTCTCATATTAAATCCCATATTAAGAATATATTTAATTGTTCTTTCAGTAATTATATTAACCTTTTCGATGAAGATGGCACTTCAAAGTAATGATGATGTGCTTCACCAGCTTTTTCCTCTACTTCATCACCTTTCATCATTGCAGAGATCTTTATGGTACTTGCCAGGAAATATAGAAAAAATTTCTACAGTAATTCTATGATTTTGTTTTCTTTTTCTGCATCAGTCCAATGGAATATCTCATTCTGTTTTTACCATGTACAATCCATTAGGCCATGGGTCTGGGCTGAAATCCAGTTTATTCCTGCAAAATATTCCCTGATAAAGTGAATTTATCACTCGCAGATGGTTTCAGCAGAGTAATCCTGAGGGGGGACTTTTACAGAGGAGGTATGGAAGACTTTTGACCACTGTTTTAGTGTTCCTCTGTGTGCATAGTGTGTTTTCCATGAGTCTCCCAATAGAGCTGCAGCATCACGAATGACAATCCCAGATAGTCCCAGTGGTTTGATTAATACAGTCCTTAAAATAGATGTTTTCTGTATGGGTAGAGTTTTTTGGTTAAGCATTAAGAAATTAGCATTTGCTTGCTCATTAAATAATCAGTAAATAACAACTTTGACAGCTTAAAAGGAGTTTTAGATGTAAAAACATAAATGCATTTGCTGCAATTACTGAAGAGCCTTTAGACCATTCTATCATCCTGTACTCTTAGACTTATAAATGAGATAGAGCTTCTAACATAAAATAAAAGCACTCCATTTGTGTGGACACATCAAAATTATGTTAAGTCTGTCCATACAAAATAATTTGTGTTGAAAATAGATTTGTTTTTTCTGAAACTACTTATGTAAAAATCACTGCACAACCACTTCCCTAAGAATTCTGAGCTTCCTTTAATTTTTGATTATATTATTGAAAGATTTAGCAGGCAAACAAATCGAAAATAACTAGATGCAGGGTTTAAAACTGGATTTACAAGCCAACCCTACTATTACCTTCTCAGTGCAGCAAGGTGTCTTATAATATTGACGTCAGATAAGATAAACAATGTCAAAAGTGTCATATTTTATGAATACAGTGATTTCAAAACTGGTCTGTGTACACTGAACATTGCTGTTGCCAACTCATATTTAACACCTTCAACATAGGAAGAAAATACAGTTCTACATGAATCCATCAGAAACAAGGATTTTTTTGTTTTGTTTACAAATGGCAATGGGTATTCTCATAATGAAAATGTGCTACATACATCCACATTTGATGCTAACATGACAGAAAGTCAGTTTATACCCACAAACTGGGTGCACACTAGTTACAGTTTACTGTAATAACACCCACCTTTCCCTGTAGTCAAAGTCTGCTGACTTCATCCTGGCATGCAGAGAGTTACCTCCAGTGGTTTATGTTCTCTGTTATATCTAAATGCAAGCGTGGGGAGCGAGATCTTTTCTGAGAGAGTTCTACATCAGTCACATGCAAGAACAAATACGTTATTGGATATATGTGTGTGTGTGTGACCAATACATAATTCATCTGCTGACAACTTATTACCTTCTCTACAACAACACACAGATGTTGGCATCTGATGTTGAAACACGTTTATGAGTCCACCAGAAGAATATTTCTACAGCAAAAGCTACAACAAAATGTCAGTTAACTACAAAACCTTCTTACTTTCACATCACAAATTTGACACGTGTGACATCTACTATCAGCAAACTGCATAGATGCAACAGAACGATAACTACGTCTGATGCTAGTGTCGTGTTCTTATATTTAGAAAATATATACTGACACTTTTGTGCTGTCAGAGCTCAGTTTAATTGGATCCACGGAGACATATGAGACACAACAATCTGGCATTTGTATAAACCAATTTGCTTCCTCTTGTGACACTGTTAGCTTTAGACCCCTGCACATAACTGCAACAGATACACTCACATTTTGTAAAACACGGTCTTTTCTCAAGATAATCACTTACGTTCGTTTTCATTTTTCAGTCATTGAATGCAAGCAAAGACACACAACAACATCCACATTCACCTACCTTTCTGTTTTTATAATATTCATTTTTTTTAATCTACATTTACACTGTACAATACATTTGCTTAACTTCAAACAAAATATTAGTTTTCTGTCATTTTTCTGTCTGATCAAGAAATTTGTTCATTTCCTGAACCCAAAACGAAGTGGTTCTGTGTCGCACATTTTGCATACTGCATCATCAAATATCAATCCTGATCCAATTTAAAATAAAATCAGGTGGTTCCTCTGCTGGTAATGTGTTACTTTGTGCATCACAAAATAGTCAAACATTAGGTTATGCAAAAGCAACACCTTCTCTTTAAAAACCTTCCAGGCACATAAAATGACTTTTCTCTGTTTCTCTGTTCAGGCTGTAGATTTCACACATAAACTCTGTCATTTTCTGTTTGCCTCCATTCTTTATAAGCTGTAGGACTGGATAAATGTGCGGCTGCATGAACAATGACAGCATTGTGATGATGGTGATCTGGAGCATCTTCCAATTACCTGTATGTAAAACACCAAAAATCACATTTGCCAAACAGATTTTCCATCTAATTAAGTGCAGAGTGACATGTATAAAATTTTTGCTCTGAGCCTGTAAGAACGCAAATCAAGACTCACTGGATAAATACAAGTGCTGTGGACATACAGTAGTATGCATTATTAATAACATACAGTATATACCTTTTGATATTATTTTGCTTATACATTTAGATAGGAATTCCTGTTTAAAACAGAGGACAGATATGGTACAGAAAACAAGAGAGGAAAGGAATGTGCATCAAAGAAGATGGCTTTACCAAGATGAAGTTAAACCCACCATAGTATATTTTTATTTTCTTGTTTGGCTTTGGTCATTGGAAACCAGAATAATTTAAACACTGTAGCACAGTCTTGAAGATAAAATCATCTATCCTCTATGAGGCAGTCTCAGCATGGCTAGCACTGTGTAATGAAGAGTCAGGTGTCTCCAGTGAATTGTTCACCCTTGTAAGAACGACAGTGTGCATAGCCAAAACAACAGCAGTCACCTGCAGTCCACATTCAGGTCCATTAAACTATGAGGAAAAAAACACTGACACTGGGAGGTATAAGCTTGACTCACAACAACAGCTGTACAAATGGAAAGATGAGCGGAAATTCAGTGTTGGTAAGGCAGTTCTCTGTACCCCCCACCCACCCACACACAACACCTAATCATTCCTGATGTCAGAACTCAGTAATTTCTTTTTTGTTCAAGGTCCCAAAAGCAATAAATATTCATTTGCAGCTGGGCACATCATCCATGGGTCATTTCCTCATTCTCCCCATTCGCATTCAGGCTTGGTGACACATGATAAATGCTGATCTGAAACAATGATAAGCACAGCCAGTGACAGCTTACGTGACAATCTGACCAGACCACGTTGTCCTCAGACATCAGTCTTGACCCCTTCCAGAGGACCTGAGCTGCACCGGGGCCTCTCTTCCAGACACACATCCTCTGTGGTGGTGCTGGCGTGGCTGGCAGGTCCTCGATGCAGCAGCGTAGAGAAAAACAATGTGTGTTTGCTCTTGGCAGACCTGCCTTTCCCAGTCCCGTTCCTGTAGGATACAACCAGTCTGCGGGTCTCCTCCAGCGCCACAGGGCAGGGAGGGCCTCTGTCAGCTCTGTGGAGATGAGGCGAGTTGCTGGCATTGTTGTCATGGAGGTCAGGCTGATTGCCGGTGACAATGCTGCCGCTCTTGACATGTGGCGTGTGGCTGTGGGTGTGACGATACTCCTCGTCGATGTCTTTACCCAGCTTCCACCTCTTCCACTTTTTCAGCATCTCTGACTGCACCTGGAGGATGATGGGACAGAAGAGAGAGAGAGAGAGAGAGAGAGAGAGAGGAGACGTAGCAAAGAGACACATGAGGATTTGTGAGGAAGATGACTAAGATGCTGAGCACTTTATTACATGGAGGTCTCTGCCAAAAACTACATCTAAACGTTTAGAGATTAGGAGATGGATGATGTTATGTCCCATTTTGAAGACCGCAGGGACTTGAAGAAAAATTAAGATTTTAGAAATACAAAAATAAAATAGATAAATTATATAACAAGAACACTGATGATGAAAAAAATGTTTAATTTATCCACAGCAAAGACAGAGTTTATATTAAGGTGTTATATTAAGGTATTAAGGTCCGACACGAATGCACATCTGTCTCACCTCTTTGTTGATGAAACAGTACAAGATGGCAACCAACAGGCCCTGAAACAGAAGGTGGAGTTTTAGCATTTCATTTTTAACAGATACTGACAAAGAAACTAATGTTACTCTGTAGTTTTAAATATCTTCTGTTATTTTTTTTAAAACAAATCCCTAAATAACACCTTTGTGCCTTAGAGTTTCACTGTTGTCCAAATGTTAGACATGAGAGAGCCACACTGTGCCACGGTAGTGGGCGTCCTATTCCCTTTATGCACAGGGCAGATGAGCTGTGAAGTTGTTTTGAGGTAAACTACACTGACCAACATGTCAACCAGTGCATCAGTATGGGTCTTTTATACCTGTATGTTTATAATAATTGGCATGTAGGCATAAGATAGGTATATGACCCCAGTGGTACACAAGCAGTACTTAGTAGTACTTAGCAGGATAAATGTATTGCCAGTTTAGTTCAAGGGTAGCCTGTGGAGTTTCTGACCAGAAGCAACGCTACTGAGCAGTGTTATCATGAGTGAGTCTACTGTACAATAATGCACAAGATGTGCTTCTCAGTGGTTTCACACCATCCCACTGATTTGCAGGTGATAGTAATGTACCACAAAATGCAACATGGGAAGGGTCAACAAAGGCAGGGAAGAAGAAGACGGCTAAAAAGTAAACATAGAACAGTGTGCGTTAAATGTCTTCAAAAATCAACTTCACTGATGTTTTTAGAATAAGGAAATACATTTGTCATGATTGTCGAATGTTTTATGAAAACAGAAAGGTGTTCATTTATAATTAAAACTCCACAGAGCACCTTTAAAATAGTTTATCTAGTACTTTTCCATTTTCACTCTGTTCACTCAAGGGCCAAGTATTACTCTAAAAGAATATGAAATGAATAGAAGAACATTTGAAAACATTTTCTTTAGTGTAAATCATCCATTATAAAAAAAGTTCAAAGATATAAGGTGGTTGAATATATGAGAGTATTCTACCACACATCCAGTTTTATTATAGCCCAAGGTCTCTGAGAGTAACAAATGTATTTGAGAAGAAACAACCTGAAATGAGCTTGAATACCTCAGAAGAGAGAACACGCTGAAACACACACTGATGTTAAACATTTGAGGCTGAAAATCTGAAAAAGCTAATTTTCCTGTGACATTGAGACTGGACCTGGAAGGAGTTGAACAGGAGGTCACAGAAGAGGCGAATGAGGCGCAGCATGGAGCCTTTGGGGACGGACTCATCGATGACGAAGGTGAAGAGGATGGCATGAATTCCCAGCAGGGGGATGAGAGTCAGAGTGGATTTTGCTAATCTAGACCAGAGGAGAAAAGGAGTTGCACAGATTACAAGAAACCTGAAAAGGGTTTTCATTATTATTTTAATTAACTGTGAAGTTTCAGTGGGTAGACCTATAGAGTCCTGGGTCCTACACATCTGTCATGGAGGCCCTGTGGTGTGCAAATTGATGTTCTAAAATATTAGACTGTAACAAACACGAACCAGGAAAACATAACATAGATCATGGATGAGAAAGGGGGTTGCTCATAGCGATGAATCCTCACAGAATTACTACCCAGCTCTGCAGTTCTCCTCAGCTCTATAAAGCCTTACAGTGGCTTCCAGCTCCTTGGTTTGGTTTTATGTTGTACAGCTGTCACAATATGACCCAAATGCAAACAAAACACAGGCTTAGAAAAATGAAGGATTTAATATGCAAAAACACAAAACTACTCAGACCTGACGTAAACAAAAACAAAAGCAAACAAGCCAGATGCAGGAGTAAGCGTGACCAGACTGTATCCAAAACCCAACAAGATAATATGCAAAAACACAAAACTACTCAGACCTGACGTAAACAAAAACAAAATCAAACAAGCCAAATACAGGAGTAAGCGTAACCAGACTGTAACCAAAACCCAACAAGACCAGGGAAGATACACCAGTGGAGACTACTACAGATGAAGACACAAGAGCCAGCAACTAGACAGTGAGGAGCTTATAAAGGCTGACAAGGAGCAGGTAACAAGACACAGGTGGATATGACTGAGGGCAATCAGTGGCAATGTAAAGCTGAGGCTTGTGAACTGACAGAAGACCCAAAATGACTACAAAATAAGAGCTTGAAACAGGAAGTCAAAACCATGACATCAACTTTTTTTCGGGTTTCCTCTCACCTGTCTCATCAGGTATCATTTTTGGCGAAAATAGGCTTTACAAATACACTGTACACCACCTGCCAACAAATATCTTTTCTGTCAAAATCGGGAAACAGTTTCTCTCACCTGAACTTGTAGTCAGTGTATCTCATCTGATGAGCTCTGAGTTTAGACATCAGGATTTTGATAATTCGGATGAATATGAAGAAGTTAATCTGAAATAAGAAGCGAAGGGAGTTAAATGCAGGCAAACAAATACACACAATGTGTTGTGTAGATGTTTAGATGGCATTATGTATAAGAGAGAGATGGAGTGCCTAAAATGTCCATTACCCTACTGTCAGTTTGTAATATTTGATTCATTCTCTTGTCTGTGGGATTTGACCTGGCCACATACACAAGCACTGTGATCTAGTGCAGAACCCTCTGTGATGACAGAGAACATCACTTCTTACAGCACTCAAGTTATTAGCACACTCCAAGTTTGGTAACATGTGTATGTTGTTTTGACAAATGTGGCTGTGTGAATGTGGGTGTGTGTCAGTGCACACAGACTCGGTTTATTTAGGTGTGAATGTGTGTGAGCAATAGCTAAACAGCAGGGTTGCATTAGGGATTGTTGTGGGATATGACCTGACATCTCTAATGCAACTGTATGGCAACTATATCGGTGATTACAATAAAGAGAATTCACCGATTTCTGCAAATGTTAACATGCCTACTCTATATGGTCACCAAAATTGTTACTGTTACTGTGCACTTGTTCTGAAGTGCATCCATCCATAATGTTTGTCTCCATGGGAACAAGAGATGGGAAACACACAAGAGGAATTCCACAACTTACTTCTCTCTCTCTCTCTCTCTCTCTGTATACATCCATGTGTGAGAGCGTCAAAGACACCATGTAAACAATCACTTAGCTACATATATCAACCCTCCAGTGTCGAGTGGGAATCCATGTGAAGTTGATTAATTTATTTGATTTGGATTTCTTGAGGTCACAATTAGATTCTCACAGTATGAAGTAGTTGCCACTTTTATTAGAAAACATGTTTTTGTTGTTGTAGTTACTGTTACTTTCCTCAAATGGAAAACATTATATACAAACAAATAAAAGCCATGTACTGAAATAAATGTTTCACAGAAAATTATTTTCCTTATTTAGAACCGGACATATAGGTTATATCAGATTTGAAAATCTTCGTCTGGAGGAGTGTGCACAAATTGTCTCTGCCCATAATAGTAGGTCTGACCCTCATTTTCACATAATATTTGTAAATGATTTAATCCTCAGTTCTTAATAAACAGCCATTGCCTCCTTAAAATGCTTTGCCATATGATAGTCATCATTTTCAGCGCTTATTTGTGTTTAGAGAGCCTTTTTGTACATTCTCTATAAAACAACCAGACCTCCCGGTGCCTCTCTCTATTTTTCACTTCTGTTTACTTCCCTGACATTTTTTTCCACCAATGCACATCACTTGGTTCAATAGAAAGCTATTGGAGAGCTTGCTAAAGGTCAGTTCATTACCTTAGCTAAGTTTATTCAAAATATTTAAGCAATATCAGTTAATTCTTGTCTCATAACTGTCTGCAAACATTGCTTTTTTATGGAGCAATTACTACAAGTGGAGGATGAAAAGAAGTGAGTGGTGCAACACAGCTAATAAGCTACAATAGCGCTCTATTTCAAGATCAGCACTGTCAAAGTGGCATGATTTTTCACATCCAACATTCACCGCAGTTGAGCTTATGCAGATTAATTTTGCTTCCTTGAACTGATTGTTTGATTAAGACAATTCAATTGGAATAAACTGATTTCACAAAATGTCACAGTTTTAAATCCAGGTAATTTTTCAATTGTCACGATCAAGCTGTGCAATCAGTACAGGGTACTTTATGCATAATTGCCTGGAGTTTGCGATTTTGCACGCCTGAAGCGCCGGTGTTTGTTGAGTGAGTCTCAGAATTTAAACCATTGTTACTTTGGACAAAGAAACAATTACTGTGTGGTGGAACTTGTCATAATTGTAAACATTTGCAAATGGTGATGAAGGATCACGAGTTGACGGCTTCTTTAAAGGGGTCACAAGACAACAAGATTGTGAAGCGCTCCTCGATCACATGACAACACACTCTGGAAATAAATGTCATTCATTATGCTGCTCAGCTGCAAAATGCCAGACAGAGAATATGAGGACAAGAAACTGACATCTTACCAGATAAGCGAACAGTATAGGAGAACGGATGATCCACCAGTATCCCATGTTAATATTCCTCTCCCAGCACCTACGCATGCACACACACGCGCGCACACACACGCGCACGCGCACACACACACACATTTTTCACTATAACCTATTGCTGTTTTCATTACAATTCTAATCTTCTCTCTGTATCCAGAGACTCATCACATACTCATACACTATCTCTCTCCTCACAGGCTACAAATAAAAGCTGAAACCGCCTTTTGTTTGATGTGATGATATTATAAAATCGATTGAACTTACTCCTCGTTCTCATAAAGGTATTTCACTGATATCCAGGGCAGCACGAATATGAGTGGTGCGCCTGAGAATGACAAAGATCAGATGGGAACAGATTTGGAATGAGTTAACAAACAGAGTCTAAGTACTGTTTACTTCTCTCAAGGCACTAACACATGTCTGTAAGCTAATAACAGAAGGACAAGTCTGGGTTCTTACCCCAGCCAATGGCCAGGTAAATGTAGAAGTAATTCCTCTCGCTGAACACAGTGATGACTAGCAGGCTGTGAAGGTAGATGCCCTCCACCAGCAGCCAGTAGTTGTTGGCCATCACGGTGTACTGCATCATCACCACTGCACCACGACACCATATCACTGCCTGACACCCAACACAGGACGGGAGCGGTGAGAACACAAACAATCAGACAGCTTGTCCTACATTACAAAAGTTATAAATTCAGATTGAAAAGGTTGCTGTCCTGCAACTATTTGATTCTGGCAATGATGTATATTCCACACACACAGCACACACATATTCCTTTTTTTTAAAACGTATTACTGTCAGGCAAAACAGCTCCACATGACCATGAGTCACAGCAGATGAGGTTGTCGAGGTGTGTTTGCTCTGACCGGGGTGCTGACCCAGCCTTGTGTCTGGCTGTTGCTGCTGCTCCTGGAGTCCAGTGTGAGGGTTAGCAGGGCATCTTTTCCCAGAATGGACACGGCTCTCAGGATGAAGGAGGAAAACAGGTTCATGTGGATGTTGTTCCTCATACAGTGGAGCTTCCTGGTGCACAGGTGACAGTGTGTGATGGCTTTTGCATGTTGTATTCACTAGTCACTCTGCATGCCACATGATCAAACCTCTGCTGCCAGCTTGTTTGCATCCCTTTCTGCACTTCATTTCTTGCTTTCTACTTTTGTGCTTTTCTCTTTTTCATCTTTTCTCCTGTTTTGTTTCATCTCTCTTTTCTCCCTCGCTCTCTTTACCTGACTTTGTTTTTTTAATTTCTTTCTTCTTCTTTTTTCCCACCATATTTGCACCTTTCAGTTATTGCTTCTTTGTCCTTCATTTGTTCTTTCTTTTCTCATTGGACTCTTTCCTACAATTCTTCTGCCTACTTTCTTCCTTCCTACCTTCTGTTCTGTTTCTTATTGCCCTCCTTTCTTCTTTTCTTCCTCTCCTTTCATTCATTCCTTCACTTTTTTCATCTTTTGGTCTGTTATTCTTCCCCCTGTTATTATTGTTTCCTTCTTTCTCTTTTCCTGCCTTCCTTCTTTCCTTTTTCTCATTGTCCCTCACCCCCTTCATTGAATCATTCTTTTACTTTTCCTTCTTTTTTCTTATTTATTTACTAGTATCTTCATCCTCCTTCCTTTCTCCCCTCTTTAGTCCCCTTTTACCTGAAGGTGATGAGGATTCCCAGGGCCAGTAGCAGAGCTCCTAGGGAGAGAGAGTAGCCAACTGTATACATGATCCGTAAGTGATTGAGGATGCGTCCATACTGCTGCTGCAGAGCCAACGGAGAGACAGAGCAGTTACTTTCACACATTGCCTTTACACACACACACACACACACACACACACACACACACACACACACAAAATAGATTAAAAATGGCACGGAAGATGTACACACTGAGCCATTTCAGATTGTGTCAAGTTACTGTAAACTGCCAAGTCAGTCACAGTTACAATATTGCCAAACCATCTGCCACTGCAGTCAGCTTCAAACAGCAAGAGTTACTTCACAAGGAAGGCCCGAGCCACACACACCCATGCATCCCACAGTTTTATGCATAGACAGACATGCTGTACACACCTCGCCAGGGTCATCCTCACATTCACTGGTATTCTTCTGTGCCCACTGACCATCTTCTTTGCAGATTCTGTAGACCAGACCCTGCT